TCGCTGCCCGCAGACGTGGGGGCTGCGGGAGAAGAGGGTGCAGAGAGCGAGCTCGGATTCGGGGCCTCTGGAGGGGGGAGGATGGGCGCTGCAGCGAGCTGGTGGCCGGGGACGCCTGGGTCCTGCTCCACGCCCCCCTCCCACCCGGGGCCCCCCTCCCTGAACCCGAGTAACGTGGCCTCGCGGCTCTGCTCTGTCTGCTCCAGATATGACCGGGCCAGACGGCAAGAGGGCCCGGACCGCCTACACGCGCTACCAGACCCTGGAGCTGGAGAAGGAGTTCCACTTCAACCGCTACCTGACCCGGCGGCGGCGCATCGAGATCGCCCACGCGCTCTGCCTGTCCGAGCGCCAGATCAAGATCTGGTTCCAGAACCGCCGCATGAAGTGGAAGAAAGATAACAAACTGAAAAGTATGAGCCTGGCCACAGCCGGCAGCGCCTTCCAGCCCTGAGTCCTCTGGGAGGAGCCCTGGGCGGCCCAAGAGCCCCGGCCGCCCCCAGCCCCGGCCCCTCCGAGCCTCCCCGCGCCGCCGCCGCCGCCGCCGCCCGCTGGGGACTGGATCCCATGCGCCTGCCTCGCCCCAGCCTTGTGTTACCATGTTTCGTTTGGTCTTAGATCTTCCCGTGGCTCCCTCTCTCCTGGACTGGTTGCTCTTGTTATTATTGTTAATAATGATGATAATTATTATTTGCCCTCCCTGCTCCTGGCTCCCCTCCGCGCCCCCCACATCCACCAGTGTTTCTGAATGTTCGTGTCCGTGGTTGCACTCCTTCCCCCAGGAAGAAAAGAAACTCGCATGTGTAATGTGAACTTTCCCCTCCCCACCTTGTTCTTCTAACTTATTTATAAAAGGATGAGCGCTGTATTTTGAGTTTCAGCTGGAAACTTCTCTAAGGGGCAGCAGTGGAGGTGGGGTGGTTCCGCAGTGCCGGGCCCAGCTGAGCTGGCCTCGGAGATGGAGTCCATGACTGTGTTTCTTTCCGCCCTCCTCTCCCTCCGCCCTCTCCACTCCCCAGGCCCAAGTCTCTTGGTGGCTTGGTCCCGGGGTGGGAAGGGGCCAGGGAGGACCAAAGCGGTGATGTTGAGAAGAGGGAAGGTATATAGTGAGATTTGAGTTCCTGCCGCCTGGGTAGGCCCCACAGGCCTGCTCTGGGAGTGTACGGAAACAAAAAGAATCCTCAGTGTAAAGTGTCTTGTGTATTCCTCTGTGAATCCATGGGCCTGGTGTAGAGAGGCCTAACGCTTGTAAATATGGGGATACTCTGGGTAGACCCATCTCCTTCCCCCCCTTATCCATTTTGCTTCCAAGACTATTTGTAGTGAGCGAGTGGATGCTGTGCTACGTGTGAAATCTGTCTTTGCCGGGCCTGTCTCAGTGATTCGCTTTTGGTATTTGTTTGTAGCTTTCCTTAAAGTCAAATAAATGTTTCCCCTACTCCACTGCCCTTCCACTTGTCTTTTCTCTGAGGGGCCTGCCTCTCCCATCACTGGGCACACCCTAGACCATGCTTGATGGGTCTGGGGAGCAGGGAAGGGAAAACAGGATGCTCACCAGCAGCCCCTCTCAACTACCTAAGCCCCTGGCTGGCTCAGCAGTGCTTGGGCCAGAGGACAGGCCTGCACGCCTGGGGGACTGAGGCCCAGAAACCCCACATGGGGCTGGGGCAGGGAAAGGCTAAGCTGGACTTCACCCTGGCCTTCCACCAGCTGGTCAGAAAGCCCCTGAAACCTCTTCAGGGTATGTAATTTGGGCCTAAGTTCTGAGCAAGAGGCTCCTGGCCAGTT